AAAACGGTGGCCTCACTCCTCTGTGGTTCCGGGTGCAGCAGAAATGGATTGCCAGGACATCAAAGAGCTGCAAAAAGAAGTGATGGAGGAGATGGGAATCTCCATGGAGGAGCTGGAGGACATCATCAACAAGGAGCTGGAGAAGTCTGAGTACGTGAAGCAGAAGAAGCAGCAGCTGGAGGAGCTGGAGGTGTGCGTGAAGCAGAAGGAAGAGGAGGTGGCGCACGTCGATCGCCTCTTCGATGATGCTTGGAGGTGAGGAATTGCGGCTGTGGGTCTGCGTTGGGTCTTGGAGAGCAGAGATGGGGCAGATCGGGTGGCAAAGGCTGATCTCTGAGCGCTGCCTGTTTCCCTTCCAGTAGGCTGACGCCGTGCTGGTTGACTTGTATGTGATTATTGAGGGATTATTAAAATCAGCCCCCCTGACTGTGAACCCCTCTTGTGGATACTTCTCCCTCTTCACGGTGGCTGTGTTTCATTTTGAGCTCCCCAGTGGTTCCTGTTTCTTTCTGCAATGCTGTGGGATTTACATCTGGACTCACTTTATCTTTTCTTGTCTCTTCTTCTTTCTTTCTTCCCACCTCAGGGACTTTCACAAATGTGAGATGTTGGTGAAGGATCTGTACTCCAAACTGGGCCTGGATTACCGTGAGAGCAGCTCTGAGGAGGAGGACTTGGCTGCCAAACCCACAGAAGTGATTGAGATCCCAGATGACGACGACGACGACATCATGAGTATTGATTCGGGCTGGAAGAACAGTTCAGTGTCTTACTGTGGTGATGAGGAAGGAGCGGGGATGGGAGCATCCTGGAGCAGAGGGGGATCAGAACGGGGTGCTGTAGAGCTGCCCATCAGCCACGGTGGCCCTGAAGCAGATGGGAGCCGTGAGCTCACATGAGGGACATCAGCACTGCCATGGTCTGCCGGGGCCCCACAGTGCCTGGAGTTCAGGCTGTCAGGTGCTGAGCTGGGAATAATTGTTGTCCACGTCAAACGGTGGACGTCCTTTGCTGTGGAGGAGCTGCAGGTGCATTTCTTGCATCTAGAAGTGATTGGAAGTAAAATTGCCTTTTTCGAGTGAATTTCCTGGCAGGATCAGGGGATGCTTTTAAATGGAGGCTTCCCTCTGGTCCCTTTTCTTTGGGTGACTTTCTAGGGTGCATTCTTCCTCCCCAGTGTGTTTTAAACCACTTATTTTCTCTCTAACCCCAGGCGATAGCAGTCCCAAGGTTCCCAAGGATCAGACCCTGGTGAGTTGGCACAGATCTGATCCCGGTGCACTTCTGCAGTGGGGTTTTGCTGGCACAGGACATCGTTGTATTCAGCGAGGCTGAAAATCCCCACTCTTTCACGTTCTTTTCCTTCCCTTCAGCTGAGAGAAGCCATGGCAGCAATGAGGAGGTCGGCCCAGGACGTTCAGAAGTTTATGGATGCTGTGCACAGGAGAACAAACGCCCAGGAGGCAGTGAGAGGTCAGTGTGAGCGTCCTGCAGCTGCCTGCTGTGTGCTGCCACTCGTGTGGCCCCAGCCTCGATGCTGGGCCCGTTGGTTTTCATTTTGGGAAGGAAAAACACAGCTCTGCTCTTTCCTTTCCCTGTTGGGAAGACCCGCTGGGGCGTGCAGATCCCATTTTGTTTCTGGAAATCCTTCTTAAGTCCAAATATTTGGAGTTCCTGTGCAGTGAGAGCCTTTCAGCGCTGTGCCGTCCTCCCTCGCTGGTGGCTCCGTCCTCCGGGGCTCAGGCACTCGGCTGCTGGCAGCAGAGCAGAGCAGAGCTGCTCCCTGCGTCGGGGCTGACAGATGTGCTTGCAGTTGAAGCACAGCAGAGCTGTGTTCGTTTGTGAATCCCTGGTTCGTTTGTGAATCCCTGGTTCGTTTGTGACGCGGCTGTTTCTGGGCAGATGCACAAACCCCTCAGCAGGCGCCTGGTGCTCTGCAGTCTGCTGGACCGGCCGTGGGGGTGGGCGACCTCAGCAACGATGGCGATCTGAAGGTGGGCATGAGGATCCTGGGCAAGAAGAGAACCAAAACGTGGCACAAAGGGACTCTGATCGCCATCCAGACGGTCGGTAGGTTCTGAGTCAGCGGAGCTCAGCTCCTCCCGCGTGGAATCGCCGTGCCTTCGCTGAGCCCGCCCTGCTGGAACGTCTTTCAGGTGCTGGGAAGAAGTACAAAGTGAAGTTCGACAACAAGGGGAAGAGTTTGCTGTCTGGCAATCACATTGCTTACGACTATCACCCCTCCCCGGACAAACACTACGTTGGGAGCAGAGTTGTGGCAAAATACAAAGATGGGGATCAGGTCTGGCTGTATGCTGGCATCGTGGCTGAAACACCAAACGTGAAGAACAAAGACAGGTATTCGTTCTCCTCCGCCGCCGTTTTATTCTTGTTTTTCTTATTAGTGAGAAGGAAACGTGCTGAAGTGGCAGCTAAGCTGCTTTCTGACCTCCCCAGGGCCGCGCTCAGTGTCATTTCCTCACTTTTTCTTATCCACGAGTGCTTTGGGTGGAGCCTCTGTTGTGTTGCTCAGATCCCTGAGTCAGAAGTTGTGTTTGGTAATTCAGATGATGGTGCAGATATCAGCCCGCCCCGCTCAGGGCCTGGCATGAGGAAGGAGGAGCCCCGAGGTGTTTTGTGCCAGCAGTGTTGCCTGGGCACGTCAGGAGGAGCAGCAGCAGGTCGAAAGCAGTCCCAGCTGTGTGCGGATGAGAGGCAGCTCCCCTTGGATGTGGTTTTTGCTCTGTGGTCTTTCTGGGAAGACTCACAGAGGGTTTTATCAGCCTCCCACGCTCAGCCGTGGCTGCGCCCAGCCGTGCGAGGTCCCATCTGATAAGTGTGGGGAGCTGGGCAGAGCTCTGTGCCTGTTGGTCGTGTTGCAGACGTGCTCCTCCTGGCTGTTCTGCTGATCTCTCGTAACCCTGGCACAGCCCTGCCTCCCAACTGCTACTTGGGGGCATGTTTTTGTTCTTATCTTTCTTCCTTATCTCCTTTCCTCACCGCTGCGGTTCAGCCTCGTGAGCCCCATCTCCCCTGCAGCCCTGGGCTCTTCCACGCACACCTCCTGTGCGTCCCCCCGCTCTCCCCTCTGCTGCTCTCAGTGCCAGCAGAAGAGCTGCTGCCCAGAGGCTCTGCAAATATCTCCGTGGAGATCAGGAGCAATTAAACTCCTTGTGTTTCCCCATCTTTGCAGCTCCGTGGTGGAGGCACAGAGGTTTGGATGGGGGGGAGAGGGCCTGGCTGTGCTGTGCTGCTGGGAAGCCTTTGGGCAGCTTCTGTGTGTCCTCTGGGAGCGCAGACGGAGCTCAGGGCTGGGCAGAGCGGTTCAGAAGCACTGAGGGAGGCAGCAGCAATCAGTTCTGCCTGTCCTCAGGTGCCTCGCCTGAGCCGGGCCGTGTGGGGGTGGCAGTGGGGTTTCTCTGCTTCGTTCAGTGGCATTCCCAAGCCCAGCTCTCCACCTGGGTTCTCTGTGCTGTTATGCAGGTTCTTGATCTTCTTTGACGATGGCTACGCTTCGTACGTCAAGGAGTGGGAGCTGTACCCAGTCTGCAGGCCGCGTGAGTGACCTCTGCCTCCCCTGCGTCCTCCTGCTGGGCCACTCAGGGCGCTTGTGGGCACGCGAGGAGCTCATCTGGAGCATGAAGGGCGCACATCTCAGTGCTGCGCTCCTGGAGATTCGCTCCGCACGCAGAATGGGAGGCGGCTCCCTGCCTGGGGGGCATCGGCGTGGCTGCGCGCCCTGCTGCCCTGAGCAGAAATGCATTTGGAAAGGAGCCAAAGGACCTTTCCCCCAACCTCGTTTCTCTCCCTTTCTGTGCAGTTAAGAAGACGTGGGAGGACATCGAGGACGTGTCGTGCCGGGACTTCATCGAGGAGTACATCAGTGCCTACCCCAACCGCCCCATGGTGCTGCTGAAGAGCGGCCAGCTGATCAAAACCGAGTGGGAGGGGACCTGGTGGAAATCCAGGGTGGAGGAGGTGGACAGCAGTCTGGTCAAAATCCTCTTCCTGGTACGGCCATTGCTGCTCTGCCATCGAGGGGGGAGGATGGGGGCGTTTCTGTGTGTGGAGCCGAACCTGTGGGCTTTGGAGCCCGGTTTCCCTGCTGGGGTCGGATGGGGCTCTGGAGCAGGCACACGTTCTGCTGCTCTGTGCTTTGCTGGGAAGGTGAGGCTTTGATCTGCGTGATGAAAGCTCCAAAAGCCCTTTTGACTGCGGTTCGCTCCCACAGCTGTGCATGCAAGGTGCTTTACAGAGGGTTACAAAACAGAACTGCAGCAGTTCTGTCCCGCTCCTCTCCTGCTGCAAGCTCCCAGCAGCTCCTTCTGCTCACTAGGAGTGCTGTTCTGAGCAGCTGAGCAGAGCTGCAGGATTCTGCAGGCTCAGCTTGTGCACACTGCAGCAGAGCAGCACTTTGGTGCCTGCTTGGGTCCCTTCTTGCCTAAGTAACGGCACCTGGGCACCATTCACTGTTTGCATGACCTTCCATAAGCCTTCACATCAATGCTTTACCTCTTCTCAGCTGCGTTCTGCTGGCTTTAGAAGCATCACTAACGTTTCCTGGCTCTGCGTCCCCCATCCAGGAAGCTCTTGCTGTAGATGCTGTGAGTGTTGCGTTCTCCTTGCTGCAGGATGACAAACGCTGCGAGTGGATTTACCGCGGATCCACGCGCCTCGAGCCCATGTTCAGCATGAAAACCTCCACTGCCTCCACCCAGGAGAAGAAGCAGGGTGGGCAGGCGAGGACTCGGCCCAATGTTGGTACGGAGCGTTTTCTGCTTTCCTGTGTGTCTGGGAATCCTGGGGTCGTTGGCTGTGTGTTTTGTGGCGGTTTTTAGCTGAGCTCCCAGAGGGGCAGGATTTGCAGCGGCTTTGCCTGCTGGATGCGGCAGAAACGGGCAGAATCTGCCTGGGTCGGTGGGCTGCGACTCACAGCTTTGCCAGTGGCCCCTGTTAATGGCCAGTGCTTTGTGCCGCTCGCCTCGGCGACCGCATCAGCGTTCAGTGGCTGGTGGGACGACCTGGCTGCTGTGAGGACCCCGGGTCGATACTGAGCTCCTTCGTTCCTCCCCCAAGGCGCTGTGCGGAGCAAAGGCCCCGTGGTGCAGTACACACAGGATCTGACTGGAGCTGGGACGCAGTACAAAGCCCTGGAGCAGATGCAGGCGGCCTCGCTGGCAGCGCAGCCCCCCTCCCCGCCGCCCTCTGAGATGGAGTAAGTACCGGATCCGTTCTCTGCGCTCCGTCTGCGGTGCTCGGCCCTTTGGGCGCTGCCTCCTCGCGTAGCAGAGCCCTCGGGTGCAGATCAGCTTCGTGGCTCTGCTCGGTGCCAGGCTGTGCAGATGTTTCTAGTTTTGCTTCTGGGGAGCCGAGAGGAAAGGCTGCAGGAGGAGATGCTGGGGGCGGGGAGCCGAGCGCCCCTGAGCCAGGTGCCCACTGTTGGCCAGGGCTGAAGCTTCGCACGCATTGCTGCATTTCCGAGTTAGAAAGCTTGCTGCCTCTCTTCTGAAAGTCTGAATTGCTCCCTCGTGTCACGTCCAGGCTTTGGTCCTCGGCTGCCTTGCATTCCTCTGCTTGGACCGACCTGCTGGCAGAACTCAATGGCTTACAGAGCGCTGAGAACTCGGGATCAGCTGTTGGTCCGGGTGCTCGTGGACCAAACGTGTTCACTCTGAGCTCCATCCGAGCTCCCCACGCATCTCCTGCTGCTGGGGGCCCGGGGGGGACCGGCGTGGAGGGCCAGGACGGTGCAGAAGGAGGCCTGGATGGAGGAAGGACTGAACACAGTGATGGAGGGAGCGTGTGTGAGAAGAGCGGGCGAGCTGAGGGTGTGCTCTGGGACCCCGAGAGCCTCACGGGGGAGAGGGAAGCTGCCCCCGTTCATTTTTGTCACCACTGCGGATTTCCCATCCGAATTTACGGACGCCTGACCCCCTGCCAGCACGTGTTCTGCTCTCGCTGCGTTTTGCTGCATGGGCTGAGAGGAGAGAGGAGATGCCCCGGCTGTGGGGAAGCCGTGCAGCACGTGAAGTTTTACTCCCCAGATGCTCTGTAGTTGCAGCAGTGTGTAAGAACCCCGTCTGCCCCCAAAGCTCCCTTCTCAGCGTGGGATTCCCCTCCAAAAGCAGTGCAGTGGGACTCGGCTGCCCCTGGATGTGGGGATCCAGTAGGAAATGCACTTCTTGTGCCATCCTGACTGAGATGTGAGAACCGAAGCTGCAATCCGGCCCCTGTTCTCCAGCAGAACCAAAAGGAGGGATGCTGTGCCAGGGGAGGAGCCCAGAAAGCAGTGCTGGCTCCTGCGTGGGGGCTCCCCCAGGACAGGGGGGCCGTGGGGCACCGAGCTGCCCAGCACAGCAGGAAGGCGCTGGCGTTGGAGGGCCGGGGTCTGCAGCTCCCTGCCCCTGAATCTCTGTGCTCCCGTTCAGCCATCCTCACAGAAACCTTTTTCTTCCCTCTCCTGACCGTGGCTTTGGTTCAGGATCTTGCTGTCAGATCGAATCAGCAGATGCTGCAGATGTTTCCTCGTCCTGCCTTTAAGTACCGGGCTGCTTCCAAGCCAGCCCTTCCCCATCGCTGCCCTGCGCAGCATGCTGTGTCCCTGCAGGAATGCTTTGGGGTTAAACGTTGTTTCTGAGAGTATTAAAAGTGAGAGAATGGTCCTTCGCTGCCCTGTTTTATTTGCTGAGGGAGGACCAGCTCTCCTCCCCCTCCAGCTCCGCTTTCAGCTTTGCTGTGGTGCCACAGAGCTGCTCACTGCTGTTCCTTTGTAACACTGCTGACAGCAGCCTTGTTCTCTTGCTCCTGCAGTTTTAAAGGTGCTTTTCGCCTCCCTTTCAGGCAGGGTTTGCTGCTGCT